TCCTCCCGTCCGCGCTGTGTCGCTTTGAAACTGGCGGACGTGCCTCTCCGCTCCTGCCGGTGCGCCCTGACGCGCTTGCCCGGTCTGCAGACCCCGTACGCCGGGGTGCGCCCCCCCGGCTCCCGCACTCTGCCCCTCCGGGGCGCGGGGAGTATAGGGGGGCGAGCGCGTCTTCCTGTCCGAGCCGCAGAGCCAGGGCTTGCAGATGTTGGCGTCTCTCGAAAGCGGGGCTCACCTGAGCAGGTGGGCAGAGTCGCGCCCCGCCGCGGCTCAGCCCCTGCGGCTCGGAGCGGTGACTTGGCGCGCACGGGCAGTCCTCGAACACTTTCGGGGCCTCTGGTGGCCGGGCAGTCTGTTACCAGTAAAGATTGCAGTTTGAGTGAGTTTGCGTTTTCCCCCTTGAGTTTGGTCTCTAAGGAAACGGGCTCGAAAACTCGGGCCTCGGGTGATGTGAGAGACCAGAGTGGGGTCTAAATGGCCTCAGAGAGGAGGAGATGCACTTTCAGAGGCTTGGAGGTGTTTTATTAGAAGTGCAAGATGGGAAAAAAGTTCCCTGCAGAGGTGGGAAGTAGCAGAAGTAAAGAACCGCGGTAGGTTGTGGAAACTGCAGGTAAGGCAGGGAGAGATTGAAGGAGGGAGTATTTCCAGAAGTGGGCGGTCAGTTCATGAAAGTACACGCAGAGAAGTCAGCAGTGAAATCTAGTCGAAAGTGTGTGCTCACTCTTGGAACTAAACGTGGATGGAGAATAGGATTTCCCAAATAAGGGCGAAATTCTGCGTATACTCAAATGGATGAGTAGATAGGGACAATCTCCTACAACAGGTGGATTTTTTAAAGGGTGTAACTCATTTCTCACATTTTTAGTGGATAAGACGGCTGCATTTTGGATATAGTAAGTTTTAGGGGATATGAGGTAACAAACTAGTAGTACCCTGAACTGATGGTGTGTTTTATTAGCGTTTGCTGAACAGTGTGCTGCATGCTCTACAGTTTCGGACAGAGAGTAGATTGTGAGGTACAAATACATCAGGTTGGGTCGGGGAGATAACTCAGAGGCACAGCACCTGCCTGGTAGGCGTAAGGTCCTGAGTTGGACTCCCGGGACCAAAAAAAAAAAAAAGAAATATAACAAGTTGTAAAAGAAGCATTAATGAGGAAGAGCAGTTGCAAATGTGGAGTTCTCTGGAACCAAAGATCACCTTTAAGGAAAAGTTTTGAGATAATTGTATATTAATTATCTGTGTATTTTTTCCTGCACATGAATCTTTCAGATCGTCCATCAGGAAACAGATGACCATAGTTTGGCAATCCCTCAAACTTTTCATAACAATAAATAGAGCTGCTCTTTTATACACCCAAGTTACCCATGAGTCTAGTGGACTTTGCGATAGTCCTGCCTGGGATAGTTTGTTAATAACATAGACTGAGAGTACTTGGAAATGTCAGACTGTGACAAAGGTTACAGCGTTGGAGCTATAGTAAGAATTTTTTAAATTCTTTGGTCATTGTAAATCATAACATGAGGCAAATGCCTATTATAATTTTATATTTTATGCACATCAAAGTGAGCTACACTTCCTATTTCCTGTCCTGTTCTGCGTATACTTGTTATATTTGTCAGGATTCAGTGAGGCACCTTTTCATACTACTCTTGGATATATATTTAATGATAAAAATATTTCTTGCCTGGCCCGCATCTTTAAGCATTCAGAACTCAAACCTTGATTGGTTTTATAGTAGTGGCGATTTTTCTCTTATTAATTATGATATCTAAGTTTTTACCACACTTAATGTCAAATTTCACTTACCATAATACATGTCCTTAAAAAGCGGATCTGCAGGGATGTGTTGCAGGGTCCGCTAGAGTCACAGGTGACTTTGGTGTACGACAGAACAGCCCTGCTTACCTACTATTATGAAAGATTTGAGAGTTTACTAGCCTGTTTCCAGCTGGAAGGAGATCTGAAAAATTCATGTGTAGGGAAAAACAGGAAGGTAATTAAAACAAACCAAGTGGAAAGAAATCCAGTTTAAAGTTACATTTAAGAGTGTACAACAGTTGTTTTATCGTCATGTCATGTGTTTTAAGTAGAAGCATTGACATTTTTCATCCATTAGCTATTACATTTAGGACATTTTATAGGATGCTTACAATGTTCCAAACATAGTGATAAGCTAGAGGTATAAAAGTGAAGACAAAGAAAGAATCCTCTGCCTTTCAGGGACTTGTGGTGTAATAAAAGACATGTGAACCACTAGGCAATACAACATGGAAGTGTTGTTAATACCAGATATGTGAAGGGGATACTAACTGGGAATAGATAGTTTTTATGCAGAGGTAGTAATCACTAAAGGCTTCTAAGATACACTTAAAAAATAAGTAGGTGGTAACCTTTTGGGGTTTTTTCATGTTCTTTTTCCAGCCAAGTGCACCTCTTCAAATGCCTTCAAGCCTAGGTGGACATCTGGAAAAGTCAGTGTTTAATTCTGATAGAATCATGTTTGCTGTATTGCTTTAAAAATAAAGCGGGTATAACAGATGGATTGATTAAGGGATGATGCCCCCCCCCCCGCAAAAGAACTAAGTAACAAATACTTTAAAGAATTTATAAAAACCAGCTGTTTATATTTGATCCTGATTCTTAGGGATATCTATTTTTTTATAGCAGTGGCCAAGTTTATTTGAGAAAGTAAAAGTGAAGAGAGGGGCAGAAACTGTCTCTGCAGAGGACACTTGGGCTGAGAAGAGAAACAAGCAAGATAAAAGAACACGTACAGAAAGCTGAGTAGGCTGTTGTGAGGAAAAGCCAGGAGAGCACGTTCTCCTTGGCCCAAATGTTAAATGCTGCTTTTTCTTTAACCTGCCAACAGACTTCATGAAATAATTGTATCATGTTGTTTATAATAATGCAACATAATTAGGTTAAATCTGGGCCTTGGCATTTGTCACATTACAGTGATTACAGTGGGAAGAATTAACGAATAAACTGGTTTCAGAAATATTTAAAATAGCTAAAATAGAAATACACACTTCTAAAAAAATAGAATCACTGAACTTGCATAAAAAGAATTACATAAAAAGAAGAAAGCAAGGAAGTAATGGGAACAGTATTCTAGAAAAATCATATTAAGTTGTCATTGAAAAATATGTATGTTTAAGTTTTTTAAAAATTACCGTAGAAGATACTTTGGCATTAATTCTCCTCAAATTATTCCCCTGAGTTTGAACACAGTCATCATTTGTGTGACTTTCAGAAGCAGTTCTGGAAGTCCTCTTTTGTGTCCGTAGTTGTACTTTTGCGGCTGCCTCCATGTCCTCAATCAATTTAAAACATTGACTGGTTATTTTGAATTTGGGGAAGAACCAGACATCACAGTGCTGGATCCAGTGAGTGAGGTGGATGAGAACACAATGATGTTTTTATGAACCTGCCTTTCTGATGGACGGCACTTAACCAGAGCCTTTCTGATCATACCTCATAAAGACTTACGAAAGAAGACTTGCAGAACTGCTTTAGAAAGTGGCAAGAATGGAAGGATAAGTTTGTTTGAAGTGAGGAGGAGTATTTTGAAGTGGATTAGTGGAAATGTGTCTTTTTTAAAACATTCGCCATATATTTTGATCACCTGTTATATGAATAGGTTGGGAAACCACATGATCAAGTGTGATTTCTTGTCCATATCCTTTCCTCTGTTTTGAATGGAGAATTCATAGGCATTTGTAGTGTTTTAATAGTTAAAGAAAAGCAGGCCATATTTGTATGGGCAGGTAACTGTGATTAATCCAGTTCTGTGAACCTAACGTTCAGTGAAAATGAGAAAAATAACACACTTCTATATTTACTGTGGTGCAGAGATTTGACGAGTTCTGTATTACAGAAAACTAGGCAGATGCTGATGAGATGACATCAGTTTCTAATAAATTTAGAGTATTTGAAGGTTGGAGGGAGAAACCTGAAATTTTAAATGGATATGCTTTTGCTGCATGTTGATATCCTACAGCTTGCAAAGCAAGGGAAATCAAAAATTGTCAGTAAGCTATCTTCAATTTAGGAATGAAATCAGAAATATAGTCTTGTAAAGCCTCATTAATTCAGCAGTGGCATTTTTGGTAAATACTGAGTTCTCTGATAGAAGAACTCTTGGCACTTTCAGTGACAACTTATATGATTTTTCTAGAATACTATTCCCATTACTTCCTTGCTTCTTTTTATGTAATTCTTTTTATGCAAGTTCAGTGATTCTATTTTCTTTAGAAGTGTGTATTTTTATTTTAGCTATTTTAAATATTTCTGAAACCAGTTTATTCATTAATTCTTCCCATTATAACCACTGAAATGTAACAAGTGCCATGGTAGAAATCTTCTGTACTACTTGATTTTTAACCCTAAAATTTATGGATACATTTCTGTCAGAACTGATTCTTCTGGTTAGGGAGATGCACTAGTGTTAACTGGTGTTACTTCAGACCCCCACCTCTAATTGCTTTTTGGTTTGTTTTTTACTTTTTTGGGTGATAAAGTGTACATAACATAAAATTTAATATTTTAACTGTAAGTGCACAGCTCTGTAATGTTAAGTATACATACACATTATGCAGCCATCACCACCATTCATCTGCAGATCTTTTGCCTGCTTTTAACTTTTTAGTGGAACCTGTGACCATTCCCATACTTGATCTTAGCCAAAAGGCTGAGAAACAATGGAACCTGTGACCATTCCTTAGTTTTACTGTTGAAAAACTGTTTTTTTATTATTATTTTAATAAATATTTATTAAATGCTTTCTCTGTGCCAAAAACTAGAAATGTAGAAATGAATATATAGCTTCATGTATTAAAGCCCTACATTGGTGATGAGGAAACTTGGTCTCTGTTGCTAAAGGGTCCTGGAACTCTCATCTCTAAAATTCTGTAATACTAGATTATTTTAACATGCAAAAAGATCACAGTCCTTACTGTATAACCCTTTCTTTAATCCCCACTCTGCTTGTCTTTCAGCATTAAACCAAAAAGAAGATGTCACTATATGATGATCTGGGAGTGGAAACCAGTGACTCAAAAACAGAAGGCTGGTCCAAAAACTTTAAGCTTCTGCAGTCTCAGCTTCAGGTGAAGAAGGCAGCTCTCACTCAGGCAAAGGTAAAGCCAAGCCCAGAGTGAGCACGGAAGTCTGCAGAGCGAGTTCCCTGTTAGTCTTACAGATAGTTTGGTTTTAGCTTGCCTTTCTGCCTTTTCATCAGATGAATAATATTACACATTCATATGGGGAAAAGAAAAAAAGTTTAAGATCATTGCTTTTCCTAGTTCTTAGGAATAGAAATCTTTCATGGAATGAAGAAAAGCAATATTCTCCACTTCTAGCAGTGACAAGTTTTCAAACTTCAGAATGTCACAGATAGATGGAGAACTTATTTAAAAATGCTGAGTTTATAGCCATGGTCATTCTGGTGAATTTTGGTTCTAGGTTGGGGCTCCCAGAGTGTGTATATTTAAGTAGCCTCTGCTTGTTTCTTGCAGATGGTTTAGAAGAAGCTCCACAGAACAACTTGCCTATGTATGCATTATTGATGCCTTAGATTGGTTGTCAGTGTGTTAGGCATATATAGTCTAGGTAGGAATTGCTTTTGTTCCTGTTGTATACGTGTTGGGCACTGAGAACATCTTTGGAATCATTTATGTAAATACTAAAAACATAGTTCTTCAACTGGGTGTATAGGTCAGTGATAGAGCCTTTGCCTCGCATCCAGAACAAAATAAAACAGTTTTTGCCTGGATATTTACTACTGAAATGTCATTGTGCAATATTTCTAGGAATGGAAATAGTACTATACTTTGCTCATTGTTTTAGAGTCCTTGTAGTTTAGATAGACCATGCATCCTTACTGGAGGCTAGGTCCTAATAGCGCTGATATTGGTCTTTAAGGGATGATAGGATCTTGTTTTTTTATTGCTATAAAGCACACATAAATATGGTACATAAGGAGATATACAATGTTATCTTTAGTGTATTCTTTTCAGTGAATTATTTTTAGTGTGTCATATGGAAGGTTTGTATTAAAAGGCTCTTTGGTAGAGGAAGTGAGGAAAGGTTGAGAAAACAGCTTTGAAGGTACTCATCGAAATATTTACTGATATAATGATTTCCTGAGATTTATTTCAAAATAATCCAGTCTTGGCCAGATGAGGTAGGGCTATTCAGGAAACAAAATTGACGTTGAGTTGATAATTCTTGAAATTAGGTGCTACAGACTTAAGAATTTATTCATCTGTTCTCTTTAATGTTCTGTTTGAAGTTTTCTATGGTAAACAGTTAAGTTCTAATTTTTCCCCATTATTATATCAGTAGGTACCTTGAAGTGCTTACATTTAGTTGTTCAGTTATTATAGGTCTTTATCGGCTTAGGATACCCACATTTAAAGCAGCATTGTTTTAAAATTTGTGTGTAAGAGTGTTCTGTTGATGAGTTTTTTTTGTTTTTGTTTTTATCTTTCTAAAAGAGGCAGAATTTATTTTTGTTTTAAATATTTAAAATCTTTTTGCTTTGCACATAAGTTACAGTGCAACATGCTGCCAGTTAGCCCTCCCATAATCAAAGGGGAAACCCAATGTAGAGCTTTTTTGATATATTATCTCACATGTAAATTTAAATAAAAGTGACCAATCTTTCAGACAAATAGGTGGTTTTTAAAAAGACTGAAAGAGGGCGGGAGATATAGTTCAGTGATGCAGTGCCTGCCTGGCAAGCACAAGGTTCTAAGTTGGATTTCTGGTACCAAAACCAAAAAATAAAAGGACTAAATTAAAGAGTGTATGAATATAGCGATAGTTGGATTAAAAGGCTGGGTGTTTGGGTGTTTTGGGGTTTTTTTTGTTACTGTTTTTGTCTTTTTTGAGGTATTTTGCTCTGCAGTTCAGGCTGGATTTGAACTCACTTTGTAGCCTAAGCTGGCCTCAACCTCACAGCAGTCCTCCTACCTCAGCCTCCTGAGTGCTGGGCTTACAGGTGTGCACCACCATACCTAATGAATTTCAGCTTAAAACTTGGCACACTTTCTTTGTTTTTGATTTAGAGCCAAAGGACAAAACAAAGTACTGTCCTTGCTCCAGTCATTGACTTAAAGCGAGGTGGCTCTGCAGACGACAGGCAGATTGTGGACACACCACCGCATGTTGCAGCGGGCCTGAAGGTAAGCCTCATACTTGCCTTTGATCTCGATAACATTTTCCTGCTTTCTATACAGCTTATTTTATGTGTGTGTCACACTTAACAGGTCCTCCCCTTGGTAAACTCTTGGAAATACAGTCAGTTATTTCTGACTTAATTTTACTTTTGTCTTACAATAGCAAAACATTTATCTATTTAAAATAGTTTTTATAGAAAAGTCAGAAACTAGTGATGTATAAAACTTTTCAGTCCTACCCTCCAAAAATTAAAACTTTATTTTGGAAGAACTTTCTGTTACATGACTCCTCTACTTTCTGTTCACTAACTCGCTTTTTTCATTTAATATATTGTTACTGTCCATCTGTGTCAAAAAATACGGGATTGTATAATCATCTTAATGGAATCACTATATTATCTTGTGTGCATGTATGAGTTTTATGCTTCCTCTTTGTTTTTCTAATTTCTTTGTCAAGGTTACCTTTGTTGTGGGTTTTTGTTTTGTGTTTTTCCTCTCAAAGAATATTCCAAGTTTCTAGGGAAAATGCAAAATGTTACTGATCTTGATCTTAGTAGACCTTTTAGAAAACTGGTGGAAAGGGAATTATAGCTCCCTATGTGAATTCAGTACCTGAAATGCAGCCTACAGAGAACAAGTGTGTATTCCAGATTTAGAGAAACCAAAGAGAATGTGTTCTAAAATTATAATACGTGGTTATATCTGTGTAGTCAGAATCTAAAATGACTCCTAAATAATGACTATAAGGATGATTTTGTTGGTTTTTTTGGTTTTTTTTCCTGTACCAAGAATTGAACTCACGACCTTGCGCTTGCCAGGCAGGCACTGTGCCGCTGAGCTAAATCCCCAGCCCTGATTTTGTTGTTCATAATTTTCTTTTTTCATTTTAAAGAGAAAGATAGAAATAAAAACAATGGTACAGAGTTTCAAAACAGGATAATAAATTAACATTGGTTAATGTATTGCATATTGTTGTCTTCTAAGAAGTTGCTCAGATTACAAGATGTAGGCCATGGGGCTGGGGATTTAGCTCAGTGGCAAAGCGCCTGCCTGGCAAGCGCAAGGTCATGAGTTTGATTCCTGGTACCAGAAGAAAAGACAAAAAGACAAAAAAAAAAAAAAAGATGTAGGCCTGCAAAATTAATCAACCTATATAAGCACAAACTGATCTTTTCAATGGACTAAAAGAAATTAATTAGTAGTATAATTACGTTAGTTTTCATATATTTTTTTTTTTCTTTTCCCTTCTTTCTTTTCTCCTTTCCCTTGTCCTAGGTGTTCATAATTTTTTAAGTTACTTAGTGCTTTTTCACTTCAAAGTGGTAGTGCCTTACATTTTAATGGTGTCTTATGTAGGAGTTCCAGGTGAATGCCATGAGGTGTTATAAAAATAGTCATAAACCAAGAGGTGAAATTCTCTGTCAGGGTTCTGCCACTTGGCGTGTGTGGCCTCCTTAGCCATGTGTTCCCTCATTTATAAAATGGGGAGAGAAGAGTAGTTGAACTTCAAGATCTCCTTTATTTCATTGTTTGACTGTAATCCTATAAGTAAACTTGAGACATGAAGATGATACGACTTCGATGTTTTTCTCGTCCTCAGGACCCTGTTCCCAGTGGGTTTTCGGCAGGAGAAGTTCTTATTCCTTTAGCTGACGAATACGATCCTATGTTTCCTAATGACTATGAGAAAGTAGTGAAGCGCCAAAGAGAGGAACGACAGAGACAGCGGGAGCTGGAGAGACAGAAGGAAATAGAAGAAAGGGAAAAGTAAGGCTTCCTTGGTATTTGAGGACATTTTGTAGAAAATGTTCATTAGAGTCCGTGTTAATCAGTGAACAGCTTGATCCAGGGCTGCTATCTGCAGGGCTGAAGTTCCTTATGGTTGATCTAAGTTCAACAGAAAGAATGAGTTATTTTTAAGAATTTATATATGTGGCATCTCACCATGACAGCAACTTCACCAAATTACTTTACAGATTCTGAAGATGTAAAGTATAAATTTAGGGTGAGTTCTTTAAAAAAAACCTTAGAAACCTGACGTTGACGGGTTTTTCCTATGTTATGACTGCTAATATCACGACTACTTAAAATACTTAAATGTTACTCTTGAAAGAGTTAATATGCATTAAATGTACTGTTTTTCACTTGCTGAATCATTTCATGAGTGTTTATCCTAGAGAATTTAAGTTAAATATCAAGAAAACTTTTCTCTTGTGAGTTACAGTATTATAACTCACTATATTTATTCAGTTTCTTTTGAGGTTTTGTCACTTTTCATACTTTTTCCACTTTAAGTCTTTAATCAGTTGTGTCTACTCCCTACCATACACACATAGACACAAATGAATAGTGTATTGTGAAAGGATTTTTATTTTTTCTAGCCAAGAGGAAATCAAGATGGCATCTCAGTTTCTTATCTCTAAATTAATTCATCTCTGATGAACATTCATTTCCTTTGTTGTTACAGGAGGCGTAAAGACAGACATGAAGCTAGTGGGTTTTCAAGGCGACCAGATCCAGATTCTGATGAAGATGAAGATTATGAGCGGGAGAGGAGAAAAAGAAGTAAGGCCTAGACATGAACACCACGTTTTCAGCGTGTAGTAATCCCATGCTCACTTTCTGTATTCAATTTCGTGAATAGTTCATTTGACATTAATTGAGGTAAATTTTTTCTCGGGACTCTCAGCAGTCCATATTTGCGTTCCAGCCTCAGTTTATCTTGTATTTTTGCATATATTGTCCTTTGAGCTCCACAAACGTTTCTTTATTGGTTACTTGGAAAATAGCAGGGCTGGGGATTTAGCTCAGCGGCAAAGCGCCTGCCTGGCAAGCGCA